AAAAATAAACTTCGTAAATATCGACAACAAAAAGAAAAACACTTACGAACTCCACGATGTTCTTAATTGGGCCTCTGTGATCGTTGTCCGTTGTGAGTAGAGACATTGTGGGTTAAGTTTGCTTAGTGAAGTTTGCTGGGTGAAGTTTGCAGGGTGACAAGAAGAATTTGTAGAACATATGAGGAGTAGAGCTAGTAATGGGATGAGAAGAGTTTGAGAGTTGATGAACATGTATTTATAATCCTCAAATGTGATGAGATGAGTCACATGAAAATGCATGCTGAAGTGTGCAAGTTTCTATGTACACGAGTCACATGAAAATGCATGTTGTAGTGTTGTCATGCATGCAGAGTGTTGTCAAACATGCATGTGACATGGATGAAGGGAAGCGTGCAAGTGTAGTCTTGTCATGCATGTGAGGTAAAAAACATTGTTGAAGTGTTGCCATTCATGCAGAGTGCACCGAAAGCATGCATGCAAGTGTAGGCATGTAGAGTGTAGATGGATATTGTAGCCATGTGTATTTATTAGTAAGAATCTTGTAGGCATGCATAGAATCAGAGTGTAGACGGTAGGCATGCATAGTACAGACGGTAGGCATGCAGAGTGCAGAAGGATATTGTAGCCATGTGTATACATTTATTAGTAAGAATCTTGTAGGCATGCATATAATCAGAGTGTAGACGGTAGGCATGCAGAGTGTAGAAGGATACTGTAGCCATGTGTGTACATTTATTAGTAAGAATCTTGTAGGCATACATATAATCAGAGTGTAGACGGTAGGCATGCAGAGTATAGACGGTAGACATGCAAAGTGCAGACGGATACATGCAGAGTGCAGAAGGATACTGTAGCCATGTGTATAGAATCAAAGTGTACACGGTAGGCATGCAGAGTGCAAACGAATACATTTGTAAGAATGTAGGGTTTAGTCTAGTCATACAACTCACTTTGCAAGCACACAGGGTTTAGTCTAGTCATGCAGCTCACCTTACAGACACGCAGAGTTTAGTCTTGTCATGCAGCTCACCTTGCAGGCACGCAGGGTTTAGTCTTGTCATGCAGCTCACCTTGCAGATGTAATAATAAAAAGCAATATTTTATTGCTATTAATACATTAAAGAGAGTTGAATTATTATCATATCAATTAGTAAAACAATCCATTCAAACACAAGTTTACTAAAACATTAGTTATGACTCAAACACCGCAATACATGATTAGTGCACATTTAAACGGTGAGGTTTTTGAATGTAACATATCCGGTTACAATTTCATAAATACTGATGTTACAAGATTTTTGATTGGCAGAAGGTCAAATTTTTTACACTTGAAAGTCAAGATTAGAAAAGAAACTACAATGTGGTCCAATTGGCCAAATAATCTACAAGAATCCGGTGTTCTTTGGCGGGCACGACCAATGCAAAATTTTCCCATTAAAGATTTGAGACGAAGAAGATGTGCGTAGCATGTTCCGTAGTCATGAATATTTCGGTTTCTCAGATATTGTGCTATATGTTACGTTACAACAACAACAATTGTCTCAACAACTTGATTCTTCTCAAGTTTTTTACGAATCTGATGAGGAACACGCTGAAGTCGATGCCATTGATGAAGAAGCAGTTTAAGTCATTGTTGACGACATGGTAAACAACGAGGAAGAGGGGGTTCCACCCAATCATGTTTATTTCCCACCTCAACACATGACAAGTCTCGATTTAGGTGACGATGAACCCTCAACAGATGTTTTTTACAACCCTAACTACGCAACAGAAGAACTATTGAAAGAGGGTGACGAGTTTCGTACAAAAGAAGATTGTGTCTGAGCAATTAAATAATATCACATGGACTTATCAGCAGATTATATAGTCGATCGAACAAATCTGACTCTGTATAAGATCTATTGTCGTAATGAGGTGTGTCCGTTCCAATTAACCGCGTCTTTCCGAAAGAGAAGTGATTCATGAAAGATAGGGTCAATGAGTCCAACCCACACTTGTATAATCACGAATCCGATGCAGAACCATCACAAGCTCAGCTCTCAATTGATTTGCGATGAGATTCTATCGGTCATTAGCGACAACCTGTCTTTGAAGGTGAGTACCATAATTTCATATATGGTTCAAAGGTACAATTACACTCCTTCATATCGGAAAGCATGGATAGCTAGGACTAGAGCGGTTGAAAGGGTTTTGGAAATTGGGAGGAGTCTTACAAAGAACCTCCAAAATTCTTGGTGGCTCTTAAACAATACTCTCCAGGGATTATTGTCATATTGGAGACAATGCCAACGTATACACCAGACGGAACTTGTGTTAGTGGAAATGGCATTTTTCACAGACTCTTCTGGGCGTTTGAACCATGTATCAAAGACTTTACTTATTGTAAACCTATAATTCAAGTTGATGGCACATGGTTGTACGGGAAATATAAGGGCACACTACTCATGGTTGTGGCACATGATGGGAACAACAACATTTTTCCAATAACCTTCCCTATAGTTGAAGGGGAGACTGTCGGGGTTGGAGTTTTTTCTTAAAAAATCTCCGCTTTTACATTTCTCCCCAACCTAACCTATGTTTGATCTCTGATAGACACCCATCAATTGAGAGTGCATACAATAACCTTGATAACGGTTAGCGGGATCCTCCCTCGACCCATGTGTATTGCATAAGACATATCGCCCAAAATTTCATGCGGGAAACCAAAGACACAACACTAAGGAAGAAGGTTGTGAACGCAGGATATGCACTAACAGAGCCTATATTCAAACACTACCATGATGAGATCAGACTGACAAACACAGATGCATTAAGATGGATTGATAATATTGATAAAGAGAAATAGACACAGGCATACAACAATGGTGTACGATGGGGCTACATGACAATTAACCTCGTTGAATCAATGAATTCTGTTTTCAAGGGAATCCGAAACCTACCGATAACTGCCTTGGTAAAGGCAACATATTTTAGGCTAGGTGCACTCTTTGATAACAGACGTACAAAGTGGGGTTCAGTATTAGAATCTGGTCAGCTGTACAATAATAGTTCAACAACATTCATGAAAGACGAAGCTGCCAAAGCCAACACACATGTGGTCATAATCTTTGACCGTAATAAAGGTTGATTCAGTGTGGCCGAGTCAATTGATCACAATGAAGGAAGGCCTAGGGGATGTTACCGGGTTGAATTGGATAGGAGTTGGTGTGACTGTGGAAAGTTACAGGCATTTCGTATGCCTTGCTCTCATGTTATAGTAGCATGTTCGAAGGCGCGCAAGGACCTAACCAACTATCTTTCTACACTTCACCAAGTGATAAGTCTATGTAATGTCTACATATGTAGCTTTCAGATGGTGGCAAAGGAGAACTGTTGGCCTCAATACGAAGGCAAAATTGTCTGGCATAATGATTTGATGCGAAGAAAGAAAAAGGGTTGCCCTAATAGCACGCGCATTCGAACGGAGATGGATGCAGCAAACAAGATGGTAAGATTATGTAGTTTGTGTCGACAACCAGGACACAATCGTACAAAATGTTCTAATGTAGGATCAAGCATAAGATCATAGTGTCTAATGTAACCGTGTCCCTTTAAATCAACAACCAATTTCATTCCATTTAAAACATACTTAACCGATTATAATTAGCAAGCAACATAAATTAAACAAACATAACTTAATATCACAACAACATTCCGAAAATAACAACAAACCGACATAAAACAGAATAATGCATCAAGGTGTCTACGATATCACAACCATCAATGTTATCTTCTTTGGTGTTAACATCATCACAAGGACACCAACATCATTTTCCACTTTTCTCCATTCACGAGTAACTCCGTTTCTCCATGACTCCTCGACGAACCTCTCAATTTTCCTAATCTTTTCACCTGCAACAATATCTCCTCCTAGCTAGCGGTTCAGTTCCCTATGCAAATGCTCCAATGTCTGTGTGTTCCACAGTAGCACCTTCATCGGAGGCTTTGTTGTTGAAAATAAACTACGTCGTTACTTTTCATTAGAGGAAATGTTGGAAACGGTTCCTTCGATGATGATGATGATGATGATGATGAACGTTAATTTAGAAATGCAGACATTCTAGACTGCATTCAAAATTATAAAGACTTGAGTCTTTTAGTATAAATTGTTGTGAAAAACTATATGAGTGTGCAATCTTATTTATAAAAAAATAAAATAGTACGGGAGCCATATGATATGCCTTAAATACCCTTGCAAAATTTATATATTTTTTTTCAACAAATATCAAAAATTAACAACGTAGGGTTTAAACAAATATACACAATCAAAAATTTAAAATATAAAAATATCAAAAATCAAAGGTGACCTACAATTATATATTTATTATGTTTTAAAATTTAAATAAATATATATGTATTATATTTTAAAATTATATATTTATTATATTTTAAAATTTAAACAAATATATCAAATATAATTAATTATATTTTTTTAAATAAATATTAAAATATAAAACTAAAACTAAAATCTAAAAAAAATTTAACAAAAAAAAAGCAAAAAAAAATTTCTACAGAAAGGATACGCCATATGAAATGGCGACTCCTCAGTAGGGTAGGATTAACTAATACACTCTTACGCCATATGAAATGGTGACTCAGGTCAAAGACTCAAGGTGACCTTAATAAATCATTTCATATGACGACAAATATAGTCATTTTTGTATTTTTTTTTTATTTTGTGATTTTTTTATATTTTATTTTGAGTTTAAGAATATTCTATTAATTTCTTTTTATAGAAATTCTCTTCTATTCAATTTATGGTTTTTTAGTTTTATTATTAAATATTATATTTATTTCATCATATCACTTTGCAAAGTTTGAATTCTAACCTAGTTATCACCACTGAAACTCAAGCACGCCGTCTTCACCATCCCTCCGCCGCGAACCCACCGATTTTATCCGGCGGTTAACGACTTACACTATTTCTTCTACTTAATCAGTTTTTTCTGAACTAATCGAAGATGACTCGTGGCATAAAACATCGCCAAAAGGCAAAGAGCAAGACCAAGGTATCATTTTATTTCACTTCACTCTGTTTTTATTTTTTTTGGGGAAAATTTCTAATTTTTGTGATTTTTTTTTTTGAAGAAACGGAGTGAATCATCGTCTTCAGCGCCTCAGGTTCCAGTTAAAGTGTGGCAACCTGGTGTGGACAAATTGGAAGAAGATGAAGAGCTTCAGTGTGATCCTTCTGCTTACAACTCTCTTCATGCTTTTCATATTGGATGGCCTTGTCTTAGGTACTTTTCAGTTTTCATGCTTTTTATCCCTACATTTTTTGCTACCGATTATTGTTAAATGTTAATAGTAACAACATGCAGTTATTAATTTCCTTTTGGCATCAGCATTGCAATTCAATAGGAGAATCTAAGACATATATTTGGGTGTTTGCTTTAGTTTTTGTTTTAGTATCCGTAGCAGCACCAGCTCCTCTTAAAAAGTTGTGAAAAAGTTGTGTCAGCGGCTGAAGTGACACTTGTGATTACTTTTAATTTACATTTTTTCAATTTATTACTGGTATTGACGTGTCAGTGTTGTGTTTCTGTCTGTGCTTCATACTGCTATCTTTGTGTCATGAATTTATTTTTGTTTGGCACTTATGACAGCTTTGATATTTTACGTGACACCCTGGGCTTAGTTCGAACAGAATTTCCGCACACGGTGTATTTCATGGCAGGAACACAGGTTAGGTTTATATGTTTTGTGTGTATATGTGTTTTTTTTTTTTGGTTATACTTTATATGATGTCTTAATTAATCAACCTTGAGCCCGTAACTATTCATTACTCATCAAATGGGGTAACAGAAAAGTTGGTATTGTGTTTAGGTTTATATGTTTTGTGTGTATGTGTGTTTATTTGTTTATACTATATATGATGTCTCAATTAATCAACCTTGACTGTGTAACTATTCATTACTCATCAAATGGGGTAACAGAAAAGTTGATTATGGGCTGTGTAGATTAATATATATCTTGGAGAGTTTTTTCTTCCCTCAATGGAATTTTGAGTTTGGACTTCAATTTTTAAAATCGTGACCTTCAGATTGCAGCATCATAACAAAGAATAGTGCTTACTGTATCCATGCAATGCTATCTGGTAGCTTTTGTATTGAGCCCTGTAGGAAAATAGCTGGGAGAAAGATTTCCCTTTGAAAGATTTTTTATTATTATTGTTATAAATTTATAATCACAAATATAGTGATTATCACTATAAAAATAACACGTACCATCTCCTAGTCATGTTTTTTACTGTAGCTTTGTTTCTTGTGTCTTTTGCTTTTATTGTAAATCTCATATTGATATGATGTTGCATGTGCCCCAGGCCGAGAAGCCTTCTTGGAATTCTATTGGGATTTTTAAAGTATCAAATATTTCTGGGAAGCGACGTGAGCTGGTGCCTAAACGTGAAACTGATGACTCTGGAATGGATGATGAGGATAGTGACAGCGAGGATGATAGTGATGATGAAGAAGAAGGTGGTGCCACGGGTCCGACTTTGCAGGCAACATCCTCTTCATCTGCGTTTGTATTATTTCATTTCTTAACAGTTTTGAAGTTTATCTTGCTCACTTTTCGTTCTGTTCAAACCTTCAGTTGCGGAAGGTAACTCACGAGGGTTGTATCAACCGGATACGGGCCATGGCACAAAATCCTCATATATGTGCAACTTGGGCAGAATCTGGTTACGTACAGGTTAGTTTTTTAACCATACAACGTAGTTTTTTAATTTGTGGCAAACTTTGATGAAGGCTTCTCGTATTTTTAGAATTTAAAATTATGAATATTCATGTGATATGGCAGTTTCAGTGTTTATCATGTTATGATAAAATATAAAACAACACTAATATAAGACCACAAATCAGTTAGGGTAACTTCAAGTGAGTTTTAGTTTGTTCTGTTGCAACTGTTATGCATACAATTACATTTTATTTTAACACTGTTTAATTTTTATGGGTCTTGCTAACGAGTGTCACATGGGCACTCTTTAAGGATTCCAAATAAAGAAAATATTCTATAGAGAAGTTAACCATATCGATTGCAGAAGCATTAAATACGCACATTTCCAAGGAAAACTTGTTATTTTAAGGCCTTGAAGAGTGCCCCGTGCCCGTTAGCATTTCCCAATTTTTATATTTAAGCCCTTTTTGAACTCTTGTTGTAACAATTTCAACCCATATTTCTTAATTTGATACTTTTGAGCAATCAATTTGTAGATATGGGACATGAGCTCTCATCTCAATGCTCTAGCAGAGACAGAAACGGAAGGTGTCCAAGGAGTTGATGTAGTTCAGGCTCCACTGCAAAAATTTAAGCACAAAAATGAAGGCTATGCTATAGACTGGAGTCCTCTTGTTCCAGGAAGGCTTATATCTGGTAATCGCTGGGTTTATTTTATTTTATTTGTTCATAATTTTCTCTAGCATACATTCATATTTAGTTATCAAATAGATCTGAGGCTTGATGTTGATCTTAATGTTTGAAGGGGATTGCAATAATAGTATTTATCTTTGGGAGCCTACATCTGCTGCAACATGGAATATTGAGACAACTCCTTTTACTGGACATACCGGTAGTGTTGAAGATCTGCAAGTACGTACTCATGTTCAAAGCAAAACTAGTAGTACCTTATGTTCTTCTGGTGTTAATTAAGTTTTCAGAGCATTCCTGTCTCTTACATATGTATTTTTATTTACTTAAATGTATAATGAGAGTTCTATCGTTCAATGAATCCTTGCAGTGGAGCCCTACAGAACCTAATGTTTTTGCTTCTTGTTCTGTTGATAAAACCATTGCAATATGGGATACTCGTGGGAGGTCACCAGCTGCGTCTTTTAAAGCACATAATGCTGATGTGAATGTATTGTCATGGAACAGGTATTATAGCATTGACTTTTGGTGTTCCATCATCTCAATTTCCATTATATATCTCTCTTCATGATGTTGTATTTTATTGTACTGAGTAGGTTGGCTAGTTGTATGTTGGCGTCGGGTAGTGATGATGGAACTATATCTATTCGTGATCTCAGATTGCTTAAGGTATGAATAGCTTGACTATAGTTGGGAATATTCCCCTTTACTCATACAGAATAACCATATTGTAAATCTTTCTCATTTATAACAACAAAATTGTTGTTTAGATATGATGCCCTCTAATGTCAATGATGCTTTAGTTATGTTGTATCTGGTTTCAATTTTCTGATAATTTTGTTTTCATTATGTCTTAACATATTACATCATTTTACCTATAACTTATCCTTGTATATTTCTTTTTGTACGTTTGAATCAAGTACATTTTAATTCAAATTTAAAGAACTTCTAGATGCACTTGGTAAAGAACTATCATAACATTACCTAGATTTTGAAAAAAAAAACTTTCATACTGTCTGATTTATTTTGCAACCCCTTAGCCAACCACAAACCTTTAGTAGGAGTTAGGAGTAGGAGGAATCTGACTATTTTGATTTTGTTATTAAATTAAAGATGACGTGAAAGTGCCTTATTTTGTGAATAGGAAGGAGATTCTGTGGTAGCTCATTTTGAATACCACAAGCATCCAATCACATCCATTGAGTGGAGTCCACACGAAGCTTCTTCACTTGCTGTTACATCCTCTGATAATCAACTTACGTAAGTAATATGATATTGGTAGCAGTACATCATCCACAGAATTGTTGGTCAAATTCCTAACAAATTTCAGGGCTTTACTCTCCCTCAAATGTTATCTCGGGGTTACCCTTTCGTGGACTCTGCAAGTGACTTAAGCTTTACATTACCAAATTTTAACAAGTTTTGTAATCCTTTGCCACAGAATATGGGACCTTTCTTTAGAAAAGGACGAGGAAGAGGAGGCTGAATTTAAAGCTAAAACCCAAGAACATGTAAAAGCTCCTGAAGATCTGCCTCCCCAACTATTGTTTATTCACCAGGTAATTTGAATCACTTTGCTCAATATTTTCTACTCATCTTTATTCTTATGGCATAAATACTTACTTGTGTAAGTGTTTGAAAGAAGTTATGAAAATAGTGTCATGTCTATAAACTGTTCATAGCTTATTAGACATAAACTGTTTTTAACTTATTTCAAAAGTTTATGAAAACTGCTTAACTACATTCCTTCTTGAATATACAAAAGCTTATGATAGTTATTTAATTTAGCTGTTTACCATGGTATTTGATTTATTCTCTTATTTCCTGTAACTTGAAACAGGGGCAAAAAGACCCCAAAGAACTGCATTGGCACACACAGATTCCTGGAATGATAGTATCTACTGCAGCAGATGGATTCAATGTTCTCATGCCTTCAAATATTCAGAGCACACTTCCATCAGATGGTGCTTGATACGGGGCCATGTTCAGTTTTCAAGCACGTTACAAGGGATATTGTGGTGCAAGCATCCTGAATCTAATTTTATGGTTTGCTGTTATAGTTTGGATATGGTGTTGCGCGGATATTATCATTATTTATGCAAACCCTTCTATAGGCATTGCTGTTATAGTTTGGATATTGTGTCACACTGTGCAAGCATCATGAATCTAATGTTATGTCAGAAATTTTACTTTTATGCTTTATTATTTTCCTTATCTGCTTATGCCAAGTTTTGTAATGAGTTGAGTGTCTTCAGATGGTGGTGGAAGCAAAGTTTTGTAATGAGTTGAGTGTCTTCAGATGGTGGTGGAAGCAAAGTTTTGTAATGAGTTGAGTGTCTTCAGATGGTGCTGGAAGCTATAATCAGAGATACTATCATTATTTATGCAAACCTTGCTTCTATTATGCTTTTTATTTATTTATTAATAGTTTCATGTTGATGTTAGATGAGTACTATTGAGCATATATTTGAAAGTAATTGAAAGTATTTCTTTCTATTTTTCAACGGTGTAACTTGAAGTTGCCTTCTAGCAACTATATTTTTGAGAATTTTTTATTGCACCCGAGATGTTTTATGTACCATGTGAATTTTTACATATGTCTCTTGATTTCGGAGATACATCTCCGAACGCATCTATTTATGAATAAACATTGATATATCTTGGAAATATATCTCTGGAACCATTTTAAATATTCAAAAATGTCACTCAAACATTAATATATAATTGAATTGTTTTGGAGATACATATCTGGTAATTTTTTTCGAGATACATCTCCGAAATGTATCAGAATAGGTGTTTTTTGCTATAAGTTATGTATTTGTTTTTAAATGAAGTATAATGCACAATCTTGAATAAAAAAGTAGATGTATAAATAGTAAGAGACTAATATTGGATGAAGTATAACAATATGTGTAGAAAATGTTGTATAATCGAGATTTAAAATGTAATAAAATCGTAAAAATAAAGTAGAAAGTATAGTAATACAACAAAATAATAACAGACTACTATTATGTGCTTGACAACATTGCATCTACCTCCTTGACCATCAATTCTCCCGTCCTCCGGCGATGTCTCTGATGTAACAATGCCCCCCGTGCCTCCGCCAGCATGGCATCCAGGATTCACTTGACAACAGACCCCTTAGAGAAGATACCATCGTCAATGCATGCCCACATAATCTCTACTATGCGAAGACATCGAGGCAAGACATCATTAGTATTATTTAGTTAAGTCTGCTCCTTCTATAATATCTCTTGATGAGGTGGTCTCAGTGGATCTCCTGAAGCATTTTGCACCATGTAAATATGTGACACCCTGAAAAACCACCTGATGTATCCATCAACTAGCTCCAGTCGTTCGGTGTTGTGGTAGCTCGTGCCTTCTCCGATACAAGATGACTCTCATAATCAGCAAACATCTCCTCTATCTGTTTACAAGACAAGACATGAGAAGCAGAGACAACAGGGTGCCTAGGGATGGTTTGTGTGTACTCAAACTTCCGCATGACGCGCTCGGGCAGATGAGGAGCAGTGATATGCGATCCACATGCCAACTATCCGGAGTATAGCACTATCTTCGTCAAATGATCGCGTCTGACGGTGATCCACATAGCTGTTGATGTGCACGTCCTCAACAACCAAACAATCAATATAGATTTTGAAAGGATCTACCGTCTGGTTCCTTCTAAGCAAAATAAAAGCACAGACACACGACATATCCTCAGTGTACTCATTCACACTCGTCCAACCGGCGATGTGTGGGAAGTGCTAGAGGATTCAAGCCTGAAATAAAACTAAAAAAAAATTCAGGGATCAAGAATTATCGACAATGGTTTCGCAAATATTAAAAGAAATTAACAAAAAAAAAATTCAAGGATAAAGAATTATTACCACCAGTAGTGTTACGTTGCCTGTGACCTGCTTCGTCTTCCCCCGACATCCATCTCTCAACTTCGAATAAAGATATGTCAGACAAACCGCCCCCCAGTTGTACTCATGGATCTGCTGTAGATCCAAGAAGTACTAGAGGTATGCAACGTCAGTATAAGTGGCACTTGTGTTAAAAATACAAGTGTCAACAAAAAAAAGAAAATATGCCCTCAAAGCACGAGCCTTGTGTACTGTCACCTGCTCAGCATCACATGAGCCTCATGTGCAGCAAGGATCTCAAATCTAGCATGAGCACCCCTGGTCCTATCCACCTCCTCAATCGCCCTTCCTGGATAAGCCCCCATATGCTCTACCATCATCTCGACTGCCTCGTCTTTGGTCATCCTACCATGATCGAGGAATCTCCCCTAATCGAAAGATGTAACAAACACGAGACATTGTCCAATGTGATAGACATCTCACCATGCGGGAGATGAAACGAAGAGGTCTCAGAATGCCATCTCTCCACGAATGCATTAAGCATCTTGTGGTTGACCAGAGTGTAATCGGTCATGCATAGGTCCTTCAGGCCATGTAATAAGATAAAAATTGAAACCAATCATCCTCCAGCTAAGGCAAGCCATCAATCAATCTTCTTCCCATAGTTAAGAAACTTCCGGGGATCACGCACCTGAAATTTTCCAGAAATAATCAATAGTAATAATCAATGCCAAAAATAATCAATGCCAGCAATTAAAATTAATGTAAAAAATAAATCAAAAATTCAACTAATGTTACCTCTACGTCCCAGATATGTCTGACAATGTGGTATGGATACAGAGGAAGTAAGGACAAATCATATGGATCTCCTTCAAAACCCTTTGACTCGACATCCGCGACAACCTCACCCTCCGGAGGTGGCACTTGATCAGCAGGATCATTAGCGGGAGGTGGCACTGGATCTGTAGAAGGTGGCACTGGTGAACCATGACGCTTACGGGAGGATGGTGGAATGGCCTAAGGTGAAGCATTATCCCTAGAAATAGACAACGCCCCAGAAGTCAAACCCTCTGCCTAACCAGAAGTACCTACTGCCTCCAGAACCTGCTGGCTCCGCTCCCTCTGACCGGATGCGTGTTAGGCTACCCTGCCATGTCTCAGTCAGTTGACTTTGTCAACCATTATGCCTGTAAGGTAAAGTAAGACATATAATTAGTGCACGCAAACAAAACACATAAACAAGAAAATTAAAAAACAAAATAGACTGCAGAAAATTTCGGAGATGCATCTCCAAAAATACCATAAAACAATAACGTTGAAAATTTTCGAAAATGCATCTCTGGAAACACCATAAAACTATTAACTTTCAAGAGTTCCAAAAATGCATATCCAGAAATTCTTAAAGTATGTGAAACACTGAACTATTCCGGAGATTTATCTCCAAAATGTTTTGCAACTCAAAGGTCGCGAAAATGGCGTAATGTGCCTCATGCAAGTTGAAAAAACATGATCTGATCGCCATTTTGAGCCAACAAACAAGTCACACACTAAGTTTAAACTATGTTACATGTGGTTCCTACACATTTCTAACCCTAATAATTGATTTCTACACATTTACACTAAAACTCAATTTATCTGAAAACTAAAAAATTTACCTGAAATTTATGGGTTTGATGATGTTATTGATGATGTTGAATGATGTTATTGATGATGTTTAATGTTCCTCTGAGCCTTGTTTGATGAAATTTGATGTTGTGAAGTTGAAGTGTATTGAGAAGGAGAAGAATGTATTGAAGAAAAGTGTTAAATGAGGAAGGAGAAAAGTCTGGCGCGACTTATGCTCTAAAATGTTTCAGAGATATATCTCCGGAATATTTCAACGTTCATTGAACTTTGGGTGCGCTCGGAGATATATCTCCGAAATCAGGGGGCATATGTGGAATTTCACACGATGTGGTAGAAATACATATGGTGCTATAAGAAATTCTCATTTTTTTTGTTGCGTCTTGTTTACTATGGCTAAAAAACAAGCTGGATTCGGGCCCAATCCCCAGAATTAGACCAACCTATACGTGAGAACTATGGGCCCAACTTTCGAATGCATATGCTATCAGTTTGCTTAATCATTTTTTATGGGAATTTCTTCTCCCACCCTATGTGATGGAAAAGAACCGTAAGGAAATTCGTAAATGCCCTTGAGAATTTTGAAATGCCTTTTCGGACGCACTCTTTTCACACCAAAATATGTCCTAATTGAGTCCCATCCCTTTCTCCCTCCTCCTCCAAAATTTAATTTGGAGATGCACTTTCAGATTCACCTTTTATGCATCACATACATTTCTAATTGAGACACTCATTACGAGATAAATTGTTCACCATATGCAGAATACGAAGATGCACTTCTGTATACATTATGGATAGTAAGTTTTGACTTTTTTTTAATGAAATATACTGATGAAATACTTCAGTATTATAACTATATTATTATAATATTTTTTTATAAATTAAATCATACATTTAATGTACAAGATTAAAAAGGCCATATATGAATAAATGAATCCATAGTACAAATCAAAATAACAAACTACAAAGTAATAAATAATATTAATATCCATAATACCTGATACAAATACTACATTACACCGTATGTTGGACCCCTTATTCATATGTTGCTTCTGTACTGCAGTGCCGTCTGTGCCTCAGTAAGGATGATATCCACATTGTCCTTCCTGTCAGAACCTTTTGTAGAGACTCCTCTATACCCACCTACACAAAATCAATTATACGTTGACATGTAGACAATAAAAACAACAAGGTCATCCCTAGATTGCTTGTTTTCTATATCTCCTAATGAGCTGACCTAGGTGGATCTGAGCATCCAGCCTTATATAAGGATGTGACACTCTGAAATACAACGAGACGTTGTCGCATGCACAACTTCAATCGCTAGGAGCTAGGGTACCACATGTGTCATCCGATACCAAATGATTAAGGTAATTGTCATACACGGAACCCACATCTCTGCAGACCATAGTAGGAGGAGCATAAATGAAGGAGTCTCTGGGAACAAATTGCATGTAGTCGAACAAGCGCATTACACACT